TAGTGGTCACTGTAATTCAGTGATTGTCAGACTGTGGAGTGGGCTCCGCTAGTGGAGGATTGAGCCACTGGGCATGGATAACCAGACGAAAAATACAAATTGAAGCTACTTAACTTATCTAAAGTCAAAGTTTAATAAATGCAATGGATAGCTTGAGAAGGTTTGAGAGCCGCTGCTGTAATTTACAAGATAATCCAATAAAGACATAACAGAACAAAAGAATGCAGAATAAGAAACACTTGTTAAATATCTTAATACAGTATTGTAGCAGTTGCACTGTATTGGTATGCAGCCAGTGTAGAGCAGTTTATATCAGCTGCAAAGGGGATGGGAATAGGGAATAGCAAATCAGTGTGAAGAAGAACTAGCTTCGGGTTTTTTTATTGCCTTTAGAGCCGTGCCAACTGATTGTCTGCCAAAGTCTGTTAAACACACGGCAGACTACAGCATGCACTGTTCATTCAGGGAGTCCAAAGCTTGGGTTGTTAAGTGCTATCACCTTTGAAAAATTCAGTGCAAGTGCCACAGTCTGTGGCTGTGGTAACAAAGCAAATCTTAATTTTCTACTTTTCTACTTTTGATACCTCAATGTATATATATATTTAAATATATATATTAATATATGTGTGTAGATGGCTGGAACACTGCTGGACACTGACTTATAGGCATCAAATACAGATTAGCGTGTCCTCAGCAAATTAAACCATGGTGTTGCTGAGTTAATATTTCTAAGGGACATGTAAGCAAATGGTTGAGAAAGATTATTAACATAACTTATTTGCCTAAATTAGAGGTAAAAGGAACATTTGCCTAGAAAAATAACCTAATGCAGAGGCCAAGAGCAACATTATGCTATAGTAATATTATATACAGTACTGTGCAAAGGTTTTGAGTCACACCTGAGTTCTTTCTATTTTGGAGCTAGACTTTCTTGGATTTTTTAAAAAACAGTGGTCTTCTTCCACGTGGAATTTCCATGTCTTCCCCGTGTTTGCGTGGATTCTTCCTGGGTATATCGGCTTCCTCCCACAGTCCAAACATGTACAGTTTGTGGGGCTGAGTTAAGGTTAGGTTGGTGCCCATAGTTGTGAGTATGAATGGTTGCCTATCACTCTGTGTCAGATAGGAGATCTGACCAGAGTGTATCCCGCCTTTCGCCCTACAGTAGCTGTAGCCAGCCCCGCCTCCCCCGGGATCCTGATAAGGATAAGTGGAAGAGGTTGGATAGTCTTGAGTAGTTCTGAAGGCCTTTTTAAATTTTGGCATTGGCTCCTTTTTCACTCGTTTTTAGTTTTTACCATTTTCAGAAGTATTTTCACACCAACAAGGCAAATCCCAAATTAGCTGCAAATGGCATATTTTGCATGATGTGCAGTGTGTGCAAAAATTTCGGGGAAACTGGACAGTGGAGGGCAAAGAAAAAGGTGACGGGTCTAAAAATATCAGCAACAGACAGTATCTGAAAGTCATGTCCTTATGAAATAAAAAGTAAACTTCAGCAAAGTCCTGACACAGGACCTGAAAGATGCATCTTGATCCATCTACTTCTTCAGAAATAGTCTCAGTGGAAGGGTGAAAAGAAACCATTTTTATAGAAGGAAAAACAGACTAGACTAATCCACATACAAATACTTTTTGCTATTTATACTTAATGTGTCTTTGACTAATCTAGAACTTGTTGACAACATAAGAAAGACTCAGTTCTGTGTATAGCTAACAGACGTTTAACCAGCGTGCTACAGTTTCAGGATTCTCACGCTAAAAGAACAACATAATATTTAATGGAAAGAAATGATTATCCTCCAGGCTGAGGCTGTTCACATTGCTGCTTTCAAAGACCCCCTCTGCCCTGTGGTACCGTCATCATTTTCAGCTGTTTTATAGTAGTGAGATAAGGGGGTTCTGCTTATTCTCTCATTGCCATAGAAACTGAGTGGAAATGCAGTTTTCTTAGAAGATATCATTGTGGTTTGTTTGGCAATATACTAGCAGAAGCAGGCAAAAGCACACCACGCGGAGATGGGCGAAGTTTAATTGGGTCTGTAATATTTTGATGCTGTGCTGAGAGAGCAAGCAGCACAACAGCTGGGAAAAAATGAAAAGCATTATATGAATCTGAATATTACGTTCCTTTATGAAATGACTTTTATAATAAAATGTTTCAATACTTTTAGTAGTTCCCCTTTTCTTCTCATACTGACCTTAGTTGACTTTTTAAGCCTTAAAAAACACTGTTCCACTTAAAGGCACCTTTATTTCATCCTTTTTAAATGATATGCTTTTTAAGAATTTTGTTATTTTTATCTGTCTCGCATTCAAGAAAGAAAACATTGTGCCAGTCCCTCTGCTCTATAAAAAGACTTTCTAAGAACTGTTTTTTCACTGTTATATAAAATAAGCACATGGTTAAGAAAATGTTGTAGTTATCCTTTAATAAAATAAACACAGATTTTCTTTCTCAAATAGGAAACTAACAGTACAACACCCCTGTGAATGCCAGTGTTTTGTTGACCTATCTGTCCACCCCAGTCCCCTCCCGCTGTGGGCTTTGCTGCTCTGTAGAAACACCACCTGATTTCCTGCTTTGGCCGCACCACAAATCAATGAATTGATCTTTTCAGCAAGATCTTTAAATAAAAGATGAATGATCACAGCAGTCAGTTGTTCCTATAGCTACGACTTACAGGAGTATTTCCAACTAAAACTCCACATTAGAAGGTAGGAGGCTTTGGAAAGGAGGCAAGGGCACAGCTGACTGACCAGGATAAGAGTTTAACTCTCCTTTGAGACCACTTTTAAATTTCACTTTTCATCAGTGTTTACTTTTCACTTGCTGTTTGATGCAGTCTAGGCACAACATGCACTTGTATAAAAGTGCAGCCTTTCACGGTGTTAAAGTGTTGATCTGATCAGGTTCCACTCGCACAAATGACCTACGAGCTCACGTTGGAGAGGTCTTATTCAGCTTAAAGTCTCTTAAAAAGATGCAGTTGAAACCATGAATTTATGGCCTATATTTGGCTCGTTTTAAACTTGATTTGGGGAAACATTTGAAAGCACCGAGATGACAAACAAAAAGAGAGGTGATAAAAGGGAATGTGTTATTTTTGCTCTAGTAATTATTCTGACAGGGAACGTTTTCCTATTTTCAGACACAGACCACCGTGTTCATTAGAAGAGCCCTTTAATATTACATGCACTGTTCACAGAGCCCTCTGTGCCATTAATTTGTGGACTTACCGCAGTAGATGTGATAGAAACGATGCTGCGTGTGTGTCCTCATGTCCAACTATGAATATGCGGTTACATTTGTGTGTGTGTGTGAAGTCGTGTTCTCTCTGCGTATAAAGAGCTGCGCCGGAGCTGTTCGTGTGTGTTTGTGATGTTCCCTCCGGGTGTGAATTAGCTTGCGGTGTAAAGGCCATGCTTCACGCTGAGACAGACCTCTGATCAACTGTGTCGAAAAGACGGATCATGTTAAACTACTCCTCTCCGCTTTCTCATTACTTACACTGACTCTTGCACTCCTCTTCTTCACCCTCGCCACTTGTCCCATCTTCACTGCACCCATCCCACACAGCTCCTGCATCCCTCCCTGCCCTTCTCTCCCCTCATTCATCTCTTGGCCTGTCACGTCCTCATCTCATCTCTTTGGAGGCTATCCTTCCATTCCTCTTCCTCTGTAAAGAGGTGCAGCAATGCAGAGAGTACTCAACCGGCTTCTGAATAAATTCCAGCACAAATAAGATGCTTATTTGTTCCCAGTAAAACCAAGACTTGAGTGCAAAAAATGAGCAGTTCAACAATGTCTTGACAACGTTGCTAGTACGTAATTATTGATTATTATTGATCTTCTTCTTTTAAATATGAATATTTTATGTGTTTGTTGGCTAACTGATGAATGGAAGTGAGTGGAAATATCATAACTGGCCCACTTTACTATCATATCATCAACAGTCATAAAAACAGATCTTTCCTGCAGCACCATTGAGTAATGGGGAAGACAACCTGCAGTGATGACAAACAACTGCTCAGCATGATGTTTCATTACTTGATGTGGCAACCCAAAGGGAGTAACTAATGGTTTTTTAAGTTCTAGAAAGGGCGTTATCCGGGTCATGGTTCCTGATACTTTAAAACATTCGTAATTAATTTGTCACTTGTTCTTTAGTCATGCAAGTTTTCATATCCCTTACAACAAAAGGTCATTGGTTAGGAGACAGAGTAGCTCATGCTGCATTGCTTTAATTTATAGACAAATGGAGCCTCATTTTGGCAATTTTTAAAGCGAATGGTTATGGTTACATTTTCTCTGATTAGAGATGAGTTTACTGTTGGTTGATGTAAATCTAATTTATTTGAAGTTGGGGTCCTTAAGTGCAATTTATTAAACTACTAATATGGAAGAAATAATCAATAGATTCCCTGTGTACAGTAAATAGCTACTGGTAGGAGCCTTGAACTTGAGCAGGCTGCCCTTTTTTCAATTCATCTTTATCTTCTTCTTATCTCTGCCGCTTCTCAGCTTGACCATTCTCTTCTCTTCTCCTCTCTTCTCTTCTCTTCTCCTCTCTTCTCTTCTCTTCTCCTCTCTTCTCTTCTCTTCTCTTCTCTTCTCTTCTCTTCTCTTCTCTTCTCCTCTCTTCTCTTCTCTTCTCTTCTCTTCTCTTCTCTTCTCTTCTCTTCTCCTCTCTTCTCTTCTCTTCTCCTCTCTTCTCTTCTCTTCTCTTCTCTTCTCTTCTCTTCTCTTCTCTTCTCTTCTCTTCTCTTCTGTCTTTTTCACTGGTCTGTGTTTATCAGTGCGGTGCTGCTTGGGCTACACGCTCCTTTGGTTTCCATTCATTCTGTGCCTGTTACACACACACACACACACACACACACACACACACACACACACACACACACACACACACACACACACACACACACACTGTCTTGCTCTGTGTCTTATCCCTGCACTCCTGCTCACATCAGCTCATCCTTTCCTCAGCCCAATCTCTCTCTTTTTCTCTTCCATCTCTCTCTCGGGAAAGGAGCATCTTCCTCCTTTCCCGAGAGAGAGAGAGGCAGACGCGCGCGCGCGCACATACACACACTCAGAAAGACAGACAGAGAGAGAGAGAGAGCGAGGGAGATATAGGGGAGGGCGCAAGAGCGCGCAAGCGAGCCAGCGGGTGAAGTGCGCGTGCTCTGTCACCGCCGCCGCCGCTTGAGAGGAGGAGAGACGTTTATTCAGCTGGTGGATAAGGAAACGAGCGGAGGGCAGGGATGAACAGATAGAGGCACCAGCCAGTGAATCAATGAACGGATCGCGACCTGGGCTTTTTCCAGAGTACCAAACCGGTGAGAGTACACAAATATCGCGCCACTGTTGCTCTTATAATGAATTTATGTGCATTGTTAAAACTGTTTTGTTGCTCTTACGCGAGCCGTGTGTGTGCATGTGTGTGTGTGACAGGAGACAGTCACCGTGTTTAAGAAGTGTGCCGGCATGTGAGGTGCATTCACTTTGACAGTTTGTCTAGACCCTAGCAGCGGGCGCTGCGTGGTGCAGAATTTGGTTCATGTGTGCGTAAATAAGGAGCGAGAAAGTGTTTCGATGAGGCGGAAGAGATAGACGTTGAAACTGAAAGACACCGGAGTGCCCCGCATGACCAGGGAGGTCTCTCAGGTGTGTTGCGACACCGCGGAGTCCTGCCCTGCGCGAGAGACGCATTCAAGTGCCGTTCCAATTAAGCATCTGTCCTGCGCGCAGTCTCCTGTGAGAACCAGCGTAGCCTGTGTCGTATGATAAAAGGATCTTGATCCACGCCGGCTGTTCTCTCAGCTGGAGAGCGAACGATGGAGTAAAATTTACCAAGACCTATAACCTTTGCTGAGCCGGGTTGGGGATTGCGCAAGAAAAGAAGGAGCGGGGACGTGAGATTATGGTTAGGGCTAGGTACACACCTGGGTACTAGGGGACTGTGCACCGGGTCAGGGCGCGCAAGAGTAATGGATTTGTAAGGGGTGAAATAGCAGCACAATAGCGGCCTGTAGCTTCGCATATGAAAGGAAAATCCTGTGAGTTTGAAATAAGGCTGATGATAATCGAAATGTAAAAGTTGGATGAATACCATTCAGGTTCCTGCATTTCTTTAGAGGAGCTGGTTATTGTGACGATTTGTTGATTCTGGTGGTGGTGACGATGATGGTGATGAACGTATTTATGGAAGGAGTTGTGATGATACCAAAGCTGATTGATATGTGACACTTTTAATGATGGCAGTCCCAACATAAATGGATGCTGCTGCTTATAGATGTTACACATTGGTGTGGAGGTGGTTTTATAACAGTTGAAGAGTTGGCAACAAAATAATGGAGATGAGGATGATGACGTTGATGGTTTATAGAGCATGATGACGGTGGAGAATTAATGATGATGGCTGGGCTGCGGGGTACATGATGAGGCTACTGATGAGAACTTTTTCAACAATGATAAATAATTTACCCAAAGATATGTTGCCCTCTCAATAATTCAAGGAGCCAAGCTGTCTAAGGAAATGTAGGCTATAAATTAATCTGCATATCTTAATCCATCCCCAGCATATAAGCAAGAGTAACTCTTTGTGTTAAGCAGCTTTTACACAGGTGTTGCTATCCAGCCACGTCTACAAGGTAGCGATTTTGTACAATTCAGACAAACAAAGCTGTTTTTCTGAATTAATAAAGGGTCAAAATAAGTCTGATGGTTCCTGAAAGGAAAATATATCCACATTCTGAGATCAGCAACAGTTTTTTTTTTACCTTAAAAAATGATAATACATTCTTTTGCTTTATATCTTGGCTCTCAACTAATCCAAAAGCAGCAACAGTATGATTTTGGCTGCCTGTGTGAGCAGTGACTGTGAATAACTGCAAGTGCAGAGAAACCTGGTGCTTGGAAGGAAAAACACATGCATTTATTCATTATTTATGTAGCGCCTAATCCTAGAAATGTCAATATTGACAATGATTTGGTCAAGTTCCCACATTTATATTTTGTTTCTAGGTCTGTGTGTTTATTGTGTATGCACATAATGGAGGGTGCCTACTAGCTAAGGGTGTTTGCATGCCAGAAATATCCAGGACTTTCCCTGCCTGTCTGTCGTCTTTTCCTGTGACGGTATCCTCAGCTAATCCATTAATGACTTAAACAACACACTCACTTCCCCACAGCAGAGGGTGGTAACCCACATCTTGGCCTCTATTCTTGTCCATGTTAATCTGATTATGTGTTTCGCTGGCACCGGTCTCTGGTTTCTTGTGTTGTTAGTGGTTACTGAGCATAGGGAACCTGTTACTTTGAGCATAATGCATCTGTCCAGTAGCTGGGAGGGACAGGAAACACCCTGTGGTCATAATCCTTTTTTCTCCTGTGTGTGGGTGTTTGTTACACACGGTTAGTAGTGCCAGCTTTCAAAACCTTGTTTTGAGTTGTGTACCAGAAGAAGATTATATTAACAGTACTGTGAAATATAAAAAAGAAGACCTATTCATGTTGGCAGGAGCATAAAGGAGCAGGAACTTCTATTAACCTAGAAGATACATTTTCGTCTCCTTTTAATTGATGAATTGTTGAATTGATTTATTGTTTGAGTGGTAGGCTACATGTAGCCAAATTTCTGTTTGGCCTAATGTTGCGATCACTAATCAGTTGTTTGTTATAACTTCAAGGGCTAAAATATTTCCTGATGGCACTGACTGATTATTTATTATATTTGTCCATACTGGTCAAAGCCTTTATAGATCATCAAGTTTGAATATGTAAAAGTGTAATACAGCAACTGGTGTGATATAATCAGCAAGTAAAGACATTAAAGCCAAACTCAAAAAGCAACATACTTTAACATAATAATCTTAGGGGGAAAAAAGTTAAATAAAATAATTAAGACGACAAGTTAGAAAATAATGTGTTTAATGTGGGTGTGAAAAAAAACAACCCATATATATATATAACATAATGGATAAGCGATATGCACTCAACTCTCTCATGACAAAGTCATCTTCAGTGATGACTCTAACCCTATGCTTTCATGTCTTTTTAAAATGTTTCCAAAAAGGTACTTTATGCTTGCCTCCAAAGCATAATGATGATAACTTAAACCCCACAGGGTAAATATATCATGCCAAAGTAGTTGCGTTCCATTTTATGATAACTGTACCAGTATTCTAGTTTAGCTGCCCTGACAGTAGTTGGACGTAATATTAACACGGGATCTAAAACAGATTGTATCACATAGAATACACGGCATAGTTGCATGAATCTAATTAAAATGATTGCACACATTATTATTAAATAGTGATTTGAACTTAAACATTAAGAGTCCTGTGAGTTATTGTGCTCATCAATGGGGACTAGAACAACACTGAGATAATAGCTCAACTAACTCGTGATCTCTCACAGTTCATAGCTTATCATCTGTAAAATGACAAATGTGATCTTTACATTGACTTTGAGTAACATTTGGGTGAAGACTAATTAGGTGATAATTATTTGTAGGTTTATGACCAGTGCTCTAGTAGCGATTCTTGTGAATTGTGGATGAGCAGATGGCATGAAGTCGTGAAACTGGATAAGCTGAAAGAAAAAGAAAATTAAATGTATTGCTAAAAAAGCAGCTTTGTTGTGTAGTGGTTAACAAATTCCATGAGAAACACAAACCCAGCCTCAGGACGTCACAACCAAATTTAGTCCTGTAACCTGAGCATATCACCTTATGTGTGGGAAGTTCTCCTCTTTGAGAGAGATTCTGACTTGAAGGGCTATGCTAGTAGCATATTGTACTTATGGTATGGCTTCTTTCAATTTAACTATTAATGCTGCTCTCCAACTGTCTTTTGCATGGAAGAAACTGCAAATTTGTCATGAAAGCCTTTACCAGGGTGTGCAAGTAGGCCTTGCAGTTTGTATTTAGTTGATTCATTACTGCAGTGACATCAAAAGTAAATGCAGGACCCATCTTCCTCTGCATCTGAGATTTTACCATCTGGAGTCTATATTGTGATTCAGTGCCCTTGCATTGATGAAGTGAATTATTTTAGTTACAACATCAACAATGTGGTTTATTTTTTAGCACTGACTAATACAACAACTCCTGGTGTGTAATATAATGCAAAAATACCATTAAGGCAAACAAAAGGATTGATAAGTTACCACCGTGCTACTCTCTAACTGGTTGATTTGAAATTGTGTTGCCACTGTAGATGCTCTACCTAAAAGGTAATTTCATGGTGGTTGGTGAGCTTAAAGGGTATGCAATGCAAAATACCGGTATGTGATTAACTAAAATGTGGGCGGATCATAAAATATAACATGAAACAACAAAAAACTATAGTACAATATCACATTTAAATGTATTAGAATTTATTTAATTGTAATCGTCTTTTCAATTCTTGAGTTATTGTTGATTTTAGTATGGAATCTTTGCATACTATATAATTGCATCGCAATCATTTTTAATATTTATTTAAAATTGAAATATTTGAAACTATGTGTATTGGATTAATTATATTGTAAAATGCCACCTCTTCCCAAGAGGGATCATTAAACTTTCAGCTCTCATCCCCAGGCTTTCTAAGCTATTCGCCCTCATTGTTTTAATTTTGTTTATCTTGTGTATGGACAGCGGCTTTATCCAAAATCTTAAAAGTTCACTCCATCTCCATCATTTGTTTTGGCTGCTATTTAGATCTAGATAATTTCATGAGGCATTTTAATCTCTCTGCAACTGAACAGTGAGTCGCCCCTCGAGGTTTAAAGCACGGCCTCCTGCCTACAGGTTGATTAATTAAGTACACTAACACAATAGAATGAGAGGACAGTGATATATCGAGTGGTTCATCTCTTCTCTCGCTGCGACACGAAGCCATTGGCCTATCCTTTTATTTGACACAGTGTTTGACATTCATGGAAAGTGGCCAGTACCCATGGGTGGCGCCCAGTGCCACATCACATAATGGCACCTCAGTGTTTGCTCGACCGGAGGAAAGCGCACTGTGAGTTAAGACCAAGGAGTGAACTTTATAATATCAAACCCAAAGCTTAACAGTCAGTATGGGCATTTGGCAATTTGAGCTGTGAAATTAGACATTACAGCACGATCTAAATCATGACGCAATGAGAGAGAGTGAAAACGCGTTCAACATATTGTGACTAAAGCACAGATGAAATTAAAAATAAAGCGTTGCATCATGGCAAAGTGTCAAAGAAGGCTAAATCCTGTTTTAAATATCAGTAATCATTGACACAGTCAACTAATTGCAATACAGGTTCCAGATATAGTCTGATTTAAACACCTCTGAGTTTAAAAATCCTATAAAAAGGACGGTTGCAGATTTAATAACATCCTGATATCCCTTACAGGTTCAGCTAGGTTGCCAGGGCCCTCACATCACTCATTCCACTCACTTTCAAATTGCTCTCAAAGTCTCAGTTTATGGCCAATTGGTGCGATTTCCAAGCTGGACAGCAGTTTGAGGTGTCTCAACAGTGATCTCACTTGCATGGCAAACTGATTTAGCCCTTACTCCTGTATACTTCAATTAATCCTTCAGAGGGAAACTACAAATTATGAACTAGTAGCCTGAAGCATTGAGTGCATGCAGCAGTTTGCCTGGTCCACATTTTCACTTGACTGGCAAACGCATGTCAGGATTCCAAATATCCAGATGTCAGGATGTTATAGTTCTGCTCAACATTAATCAACAATTAGTAAAATCACCTATTAGTATATTCAGTGCTGGAACTCTTTGTATTTATCCAAATTGATATGGAAACTCATACTAAAAAGCCACGAGGAATGATTATTGGAACTATGACAGTCATAAAACATCAGTTTAGACAAAAGTAGGTATGTCAGGCTAGAAAAAGGAGTGTTGCTTTAAAATCTAATATCTTTATAAGACATAATTGTTTTCTGCATTTTTGACTTAGTTTAGTTATGTCTTGCTCCTTTTTGCTTATCTCCACAAGTAAGTGGCAAAAAAGTGCTCATTAACCAACTGTAAAACAATCTATTATGCAATACTCTCTATGTACTGCTGTTAAGTAAAAGGGTGGAGCAAAGGGTGTATGGGTTTAAAGAGGCAGTTTTAAAAATGAGGTAACACAGTGGTGACTCAGCCTATGGCCAATTGATGAAAGCACTCTGATATTTATATAGCTGCAATGTGTCCAACTGACCATTATTTGATTTTTTTCTACAAATTATATTACAGGATAACACAAACCAAACACTTGTTGCTGTTGCAGCGTCACATTAAAAGCATTTAAGCTGGTGAGCCATTAGTTGGCTTTTATTTTGGAACTGTCACGCAAAAAAATCAGTGTCAGTGAGTTGAGTGCTTACCATTATTGGCTAGTCATAAAAAAACAGACTTTTTGGCATTGTCTGGCAAATTAGCTTGAGATACTAAAGGTAGTAATGAAACCAGAAGAAGCAGCCACTGTGAGCTGCAGGCAGCACGCTCAACTCAACGTCTCCTTGTGCAAGCCACAAGGAAATGGATAAATCTGCATGAATTGTTTTTTGAAAGCATGGAAATAACTTGTTTTGCTTTCCCCGGTATTCAGTGATTTACTAGGATTCAATTCTTCAACACAGCCATTTCAAGAGGTCGTTACTAAATACACATCCATCCATGCTCTTACAGCTTATCCAAATTCAAGGTCGCGTGCTAAATGGACATATCCAGGTAAACAAGCCCTCAGTTATACAGGCTTGATAAGAATTTAGCAATTTGTATTCCATTATCGATATCACTTGTCAATTTGATTCCTTATCAGTTCTCTTATCAATTCTTATTGGCTCTGCTTTGAGAGTTCCCACGATCCCTAAGCAGCATATCAGAGAATTCACATTGGCGCAAATTAATTGGATGGTGTGGGTCAAATGTTTGTGCATGCTGGAAATATTTCCCATCTTTGTTGTGAGCAGTTTTGGGGTCGTTACTGAAAAAAAGTAATGTATTACACAGAACAGAAGTAATACAGTACATTACTGCTTAACGTTCCTTAATTTGTTATACTGCTTGTTACATTACTTTCATGTTCCTCTGTGAAATGATCTGAAACATGCTGTCTCTTAATTACCATTTAACTATATAAACCTACAGGCTACAGCCCCTCACACCAACACAAATCCCTGTCTTAACGACCGGGACGTTACAGACATACATATGATCTTTCTATTAGTATTACACAAAAAACAGCACAATGAGATTTTAAAGCAAATGCCACCACATTGATTATACTTTAGAAAGATGAGTGAATGGCAACAGAGACTGAAAGCACGACAGTTCATCTGTTTGTTATCTGATGAAATTCAAGCTATGGCTGCTGTGCTGGGGTTGGCATTCATTCACTTTCACTCTGGGTTCTTGGCTAGCTTAGTGTTAGCATGCTGTCTGGCTAGTTTAGCGTTAGCATGTTGTCTGTCCTGGATGTAGTTTCCACATTATCATCAAGCTCTGTCTTTTGATGCAATACAAATAAAAGCAGTATCCATTCCGGCATTTTCCTCTGACGACACACGAATTGAAATCAGCTGATTGGGTCGCAAAAGGAAGAACTAATAAGCGGGATTAATAGACAGGCAGACTAACAATTCCAAGGAAATGGCCCAGTGATTCCCATCATTACCTCTGTTCACTAGGGAAAATGTATAATGAAGTTAGTGAATGGTTGCTGTGTTACTAGGTGAAATTGGTCACATGTCTATGTGGTTCCTTTGGTCACTAGCAGACTGCAGCACTCACCTGTAGTTAGCATGGATGATACCCACTTGTTTGCAAACACTCCCTAACTACTCCTTAAGGGTAATGTAACTTGAGAAAGGTGTGATGCAAACTTTGAAACGGAGAACGTTCGCCTTCAAAGTAAAAGTTGTGCCTTACTGCTCCAAACCGACACGTTTAAAGCGCAAGTTTTGCTCTGGAGGTGACTGAAGCCCAACTGATGTAAGGGAGGAAGACCGAAGGCACCCCAACAAATTAATGCCTAATTAATGTTTCATTGCTCATCAGTTTGGCAGATACTTCTTCATTCAACTTGGTAACTGAAGCTGCTGGTAGAATATTCCTGTGCCAAATTAACCATGGAGGGAGGTGCACTTGCCAGGACTCCTTGTCTCATTGATCTTGGTGGATTAGTTAAAATCCCACATGAGTTCTGCTGCTCTCAGTCATCTCTATGTCCTTAAGTCCTTGGGTCTGTTTCTAATAAAATAACCATCATCATCATCTGGCAAACAATGACAGGCTTTTCCACAAAATCTAAAAATGTGCACGTATGTAACAAAAGTTGTTGCAGAAAAACCAAAAAAACTCTTTTGCAGACAGACACATTCGATAGTGCTCTGATTACAATTATCATCCCACCAGATTATGTTTAAAGATGAGCCGAGCATTGATATGCAGAGAGGCTCCCCCTGCTGCTGCTAAGAATAGAAAACACCGAGGTGGAGGAGAGCCGTTTGTTTTGTGAGTAACCTCAGCATATGATACGCACACTTGGACTCACCACAGTGTGTGAGAGGTAGTGACTGTGTCTTTGAATGTGTCTTTCTCTATGTCTGTGGCTGTCTGTGTCTTGCTCTGCGTGTGCTTGATCCTCATGCGGTGATTCACAGGGCAGACCGTCCCGGATATTTTGCTTATGGTCGTCTGCAGTGCTGTTGTTGCTTTAAATTACATTTTAGGGATGGCTTGGTGCTTGGCAGAATAAAACGGTGCTAAGTGAAGAAAAGTGACTAAAGCAGTTACGATTTCTGGAAGATAGAAGAAGGGACAGAGGAGAGGGTGAAAAACAGACGCAACCCTGCTTGTGTCCTTTCCTCGCTACTCTCTGAGGCCAGAATCAGTGCAAGCTGTTCTTTTAATATCATGAATGGGAGGAAAGATGTGAAATGGACAATTGCAGACTTATCCAGCCAACTGTGAAAATGGGCACAGATGAAGAATACAATGACCTTTTAAATCGCTTAAGCCCTAGGCCAGTTTGTGGAATTTGTGTATGGAAAAACAAACTCAATCAACTTCAGTCGCTGGCAGCTCCACAAGTGAAAATGAACAACCTTGGGCTCTGCTTATAAAGAATGCTTTGAAGAATTTTTGAACTACAGTAAATTTCACTCACCAGCCCTGGGTGACACTTGAAAAAACTCAAACAGTATTTACTTCCACCATCTAAATCTGATCAGAAATTAAACACCCGCTTTATAACAAAGAGTCAGCGACACTGATGATGGTGAACCTGATCTAAAAAATCTGACCTACAACCCTGCCAAACCTGGCAGTCGGTGGGACTATGTAGCCTCTCCATTTTAGCCATTTGAGAGCTTTAGAGAGCCAAATGTACCCGGCTTGGTGTTTGGAAATGGTGGCTGCAGGTTATGGAAAAGGTTACAGTTTTTCTGAATGGACAGGTTTGCACTGGATGGTTGAAGAAAGAAGTGTACGCTCTTTTAAAAGAGGAATGGATAAAATCCTGAAGTGGGTGAACGTCTATATGTTTACCACTGATAAACCTCCCTTTTTTCAACACAGGTTTACTTTCTGTTGGTTTCCTGCCCTCTGTGTTTTTTCTTGCATTTCCTGTCTACCCTTATGTTGCCTTTTCACTTTAATTTTCTCTGTGTGTCCTGTCTTAATGTCTTTCTTATCTACTTTGTCATTCTTGTATGTGAAATTACTGTCTTAGATGGCCCCAAAAGAGAATTTTCTCCAGGAGATTGGGTTTGTGTCGTATGTGAAACCAAAAGGTCATTCATCCATTTTCTTCTGCTTATCCAATTGCAGGGTGTGTGTGTGTGTGTGAAAGCATGCTTTTGGACACACAGGGACAGGGGGAACATGCACAGTCCACACGGAAAGGCCCCAACCTGAATTTGAATCCAGAACCTTCTTGCCTCGAGGTGCCAGTGCGAACCACTGCACCACCATGCCACAAAACCGAAAGGCAATGTTGATTCGTTTTTTTCATACTAGGTTGACTCAGGGGGCCTTTCTATTGTGACTTTGCACGTTCTTCCTACGTGTGTTTGGTTGAGTTTCGGATTCAAATTAGCCACAGGTCTGAATGACTGTGATTCGCAAGGTTCCCAGACTGTAGCAGCTCTAGCCCCCCAAGCACCCTGAATTGGATAAGTGGTCAATAAAACAGATGTAAATGATGCAAATTTTTTCTTCTTCTTTTTTCGAATTTCTCAGTTTTCGCTCATGGTTAGACGAGATTTCGACAACAGAACTAGTCTGCTAGCTGTGGGATAAGATTATACTTTGGGTTAAAATAGATCGCATTTTATGCATTTTCACAACAATAGCAGTGGTCACATGTTAGCTTTTCAGAACATTCTGAAGGCGAACTTGTCCTTTGTCCTGTTTTTCACCAAGCTATCACGTTACATCAAATAAACTGGTCAGTTGCAATCATGGTGCTGGTGCAACATTAACACCAACGCAGCAATATCAAATTGCCCCTCCGCCCCCCTCCCCACGCCTTCTGTTCTGTCTTTGTCTGTCCTTTTAACCTTTTCTGTGTGGCTTCACATCAACACTGTCAGAGCAGTTTATAAAACAAATAGACCTGATATCCTGAAGTCCTGGTAATTCCAGGAATTCTCCATTTTCTCGAGAAAAGACACCCCTATATTTCTTCGCTGTGTAAAACAAAGTAGATCTTAATCTGTTTTGTGTTATATAGCAGACAAAGCCCGCACTCCTTGCAATGCGTTTCTTGTGAGGCGTACAGGAATACCAAAATGTGGCTTCAGATAATCCATGTAGTGTAATGTATGCAGTATCATAATGCCGTTTACAAGTACAGTGTTATGCAACTCACAATCAGCATAATCTTCCTTCGCTTTTCTATGGATGGGAAGTCATGGATGTGGTTTGTTCACGCTCCCAAACACACACACACACAGACACACACACACACACTCTTCTCTCCCCAAGCGCAAGTCATATTGCAGATGTTCATATCCAGTATCTGCCAGCCTCTGTTTGTTTGTTTTTGCCTCTGTGCGTGTGTGTGTGTGTGTGTGTGTGTGTGTGTGTGTGTGTGATGTTGAGAGGTACTGGCAGCACAGTGCTCAGACTTCCATCCCTTGCTAATGTCACACACAGAGAGGATAGCAAAAAGCCCGAGGGAGCTCGCATGCTAACCCCCACCTCCCCTCTCCCCATCTCATCCTCAACACGTGCACGCACACACACGCATACACACACATATCATGCATAAATAAGTTAGTATGAATGCTGAGCGTGAACATGTAAACTTCCGCGCTTCCATGCGCACTTTTTCCTTTGCTCATGGATTTAGTTTTTGCTGCAGCGACTTACTCTCGCGCACGTCTATACAGAGCCTTTACTTCTGTGTCTCTTTTTTAACCTCTGCTGCCGGGCCTTGATGACACACACACATGCGCTCACGTGGAGTTTACAAATAAAAATCATCACACCTATACATAGCAACACTCTGTATCTCTCTAAAGTACAAGCGGACTTAAACGCGAGGTCCTGGGGGAACCTCGGTCTTTGAGTGTCTGCGCTGCGCTCGCCCTGCGTGCCTTTACACCTCTACTCAAAGCTTCTCTCCATTTTTATGTCACAGCCTTTTGCAGAAGCGGAGGCATTTAGTCTGTGTGACTTCCAAGTGGTACTACAAACAGTAAAAGAAATAAAGGCTTGGAGCAGTCGTGGATTTAGTCAAATTTTGCATATTTGTATCATATGGAATTCTTTGTTCTAATCTGTATTTGTTTAGACTCAGGGATAATGTAACACTTGCTTTGATGCTGATGTTAATGCCTCTAGGCCTCTGTTTTACACCATTTGCGGTCCAGCCTATAATCAGTATTGATAAGGACATTGGTATTAAATTAATTTCTAAATTCATGTCTATCTATGTGGCAAAATGTGAAACGTGACCAAAAAGTTCTGGGAGCCGGTGAAAATCTCACCCAGTTAAAATTTGGCCCTTTTCACATTCAAGGTCATCTTTTCAGGCATGTCCACACAACTTCCAGTGCGGCTGCTATTTTTAGATCCCATTCTGGCCACTTACACCAAGCGATGCACGATTTCATCACTGACCTCAAAGTTGCACGGAGAGCAAACATCAACTTCTCTTTCAAACTGACTCAGGTCTCATGTGGAGGATCGTCTCTGATGTTCAGAGCTTCAGCCAATTCAGTTGAAGAGGGAGCGAGCCAGGTGAGTCGTTCTGCTTAAACATTAATTGTCCATTCGTCCGCCAGGTGAACCTGTCAGTGCAGTATTCTGGTGTAATGCAACTTGGAGTTGATGATATGAACTGCGGTGCATGGCAGCGTGCCATTTCAGAGCACGGTGAATACAGTTTTTTGGCCACACGAAAAATGTTCTCTCACAGGCTGGCGCACTAACTGGAAATGAAAATCAAGTTGAAGGATCACCGTCTTGACACACTGGAGGAGATTGAACTTTAAGTACATACAGTGCATGCAGTGCTCCAAAAATGGCACGAGTGCTGGGAATACTTCATCTTTGCCAAAGGAGATTTTTTTCAAATATTTTGAATTCTATTTATCTGAAATTATTTGATTATTAATACAGTTGAATGGATTTATAAGTAGAACTTTACTGTTTTTGTTGGTCTCGATGATGCTAGCTTTTCTCCCAGCGATACAGTGTTTATGCAAGAAAAACTGTTAGACCTGGAGCATGCAACATGTGGGGGGGAACTGTGTCTGTGTATTACAAGTCAATGTTGCATTTGATTCATGCAGTGTTATTCACCCTCTATAACAGTAATTGCTTATTGCTAGCACAGACAGAACTGAGGAGGCTGCACATATGCCACAGAGCAGAGGGAGACGGAAAAACACTGGGGAGGTTATTTCACATTAACTGTACATGTGCGAGAACGCTGACTTAGACGTAACCTCTATTACATCCTTGGCTTAGTGAAGATGAGTGAATGAATACGACTGATTTTACCCAGTGACCTCCAGCAACCGCTCACCAACCAGTCTGGGAATGCACAGTTTTTCCCTTACGACCGGTGACTGCCCGACGGTTGCTGTCCAGATCATTCTCATTCCCAGTGCGTAACATACCGACGATTTGTCACATCGTAGGTGTCTCATAGTAACACGAAAGGTACCATTCGGAGTCCTTATGATCCACTCCGGATTCTCAATTGAATCCAATAGAATGCCGCTTGTGCCTGCAACACACGCTCCACCCTTCCATTCCAGCACCAACCATAACCATAACCCTATCAGATACAACATACAGGCGATTTGTCACGTAGTGTCGGTATGTGACGAGTTGAGATGAGAACATGACATCCAGAAAGACCAGTGTCACATGGTTAGTGCTCACACGACTGCAGTTTATCAGTATTATGTGTGCTGTTTATAGACAGTATAGTAGATCTAAAGGTGCTGTACATTGATTCCATAGCAGCTTAAATCTAACTGGTTCCACAAAGTGCT